ATCCCAAATAATTTCACAGTTACTTTCATACTTTCATTTCATTTATTCTTTTCTACTCTATGCCATCAACTTAGTCATTGGGAGAAGATAATTGAAATCTTACCGGAGATTTAATTACTCAAATATAATTGGATACTACTTTTCCATGATTTCGGTATTTCGCTTCAGATTAATGAGAACTTAAAACTTTACCATACCGTACTATTTTCGGTAGCATTTGGACAACTGCTTGGGCAGGAGCAAATGCCATCCTCACATTGTTGTCCATCAAGACAAGGACCATTCGAACAACTATCACAGGAACCGCGGAAAGCAATCATTACAAATTTTTGTTGCTGGCATGCAGCCTGGCGCATATGACACTCCGAAGGGTATGTGATACCATCTGTTGCGCATATCATCCCTAAAAATCCGTACTAGAAAGGTACATCCGGACAGACAGGCCAGTCTCATAAAACGACGAGTAAAAAAACTATAATATGACTGGAGCTATAAGCAAGAATTAATCTTCATTGTTCATATGAGTAGAGTAATGCACTTCTCATGTGAAATCAGACTAGCATTACGTGAGACTCTCAACATTCCAGCCATGTTTTCACTCTGGCCCGTGCCTGTAACTTATGTCAATGCAGCAAAGGAAAACCAGAATTGTCATTAGCGCATTGATTTGGACATCGGCAAGAACCACTGCCAGCACCATCCGACACGCAGATCGAATAAAATTCACAACGAATATTGATGCAACCATCTGTTTTTTAAAATTATTTTTCATTAGAAAAGAAGCACCTCTCTAGAATATCTTTGTTCGAAATGAAATTTCAAAAATCTAGTTTGTTTTGTGATAACCCTTATATTTTCAAATTTTTTTCGATTCAATCTTGAATTTTTTACAGAAATACTTGGGGATTATTAAATTTTTTATCGATCAATTCTCGAAAGGCTTCATTAAAAATATAGATTATTCGTTTAGTGACACTTATTATTTATACATAAACACGTTCACAACCCTTGAAAGAATTAAGAACTGGCTGAAGAATGGAACGCACTTAGCTAATCGATTATGCAAGCAGACAACCGGAACAGTTAGATGATACTCTTTGTTAGCATATGAATAAATATCTCGCAAATAAGCCAAAACTAACCACACACACCACTATACTTCTGATAAATGAATTTGCCGGTTAAACAGGACTCATGACGCATTTTGCATTCGTTCGCATATGTGATGCCATCGGATGCACAAACTTCATTGAGTTGCGAATCGCAAACTTCGCATTGGCATACTGGATGTCCATCGCGGTCAACGCATATTTCAGAAAATCGGCAACCATCGTAACCAGCGCATGCACCGAAGCCTTCATTTTACTCGTATCTTAGTGCTTTTGGAATGGTTCTCGCAGACTTTTGATATTTAATTTAAATCAAACTTCCTTCCTCTCTAATTCACGTTTACCTTAATTCTTCATAGAAAACGTTTGGAATCATCAAAAAATAAATAAATAAATAAATAAAATTACACTTGAATTGTTCCTAAAAATTCTGTGAAGCAACACTAAAATCTCTTTCTAGTGTTTCCAGTGAAAGAAAAATTATTCATATTTTTATTTAGTATTTTCGAATTATTAACAAGAATAAAGAAGGAATTACCACAAGGACCTGCATACCGCACGGCATTGTGTATTTTTGACATGCATGCGGAACGTCGCATCACACATTCGTTTTCATACGTTTTACCGTTCTGAAATAATAATACAGCGCCATCAAAATAGTTGAAATATGAAAAAAAAGCTTTCGAAAGTTGCACATATTATAGTGAGTAATCAATTTAATACTGTTTAAAGTATATGATTCCTTTGGAGTTCATTTAATACGCGGAAAAAGTTAAGTAACCATGCAAATAAGACAATCAATACGACAAATAATTACCGCACATAAGCAGATGCACTTACCTATTTATTGCGATTTCAATTCTTGTGGACTGTTTAACTGTAAGACTAAATCAACGATATTCCTAGTTAATACTCAATTTATTTAATACCAAGCATAAAAAAAAACCAACGATGGAGCAAACAGGCTTGGTAATAGGTGAACAATACTGAATGCATCTGCATATGGCTGTGCCATTTTCCTGAATATGACATGTCTCCAAATCCGAGCAATGGATCAATTTACATGGATTATCTTCTGCAAAAATGGAAGATCTACTAGCGGAAATATAGCACAAACCGAGATAACTTCATACAAATTAGCTTAACTGGTATTGAGTGGTATTTGATAAAACATCGTTAGATGTGATGACAGGTGAACATGAATCAATACTCTTGCAATAACAGCCTTGTTTTACGTAATTCTTATTAATAATGATAATAAATTCATAAAACCTACAAAGTTGAAGGTTAATTTCAGTAAAAAAACAATGTGAATTTTGCTAATTTATTATTTTTTAATTATAAGGCTATGGTTTCTATGGATTGGGATCTATGCACTAATGCACTTGATCTATGCAATGAACCCATCCATATCCAGCAATTTACTGGTCAAGAAATACAATGCGTTTCTGTAGTGTCCAATCAGTTTCCAAGATTTTTAGGCATGCGAGTTTGAATAAATATTGAAGGAAATAGAAACCAAAGATGTCGCTTAAAGATGACAAAAATTGACGGAAAACAAACCCTTGCAACGCCCTTTGTGATAAATCAAGACTTCGTTATCTTGACGACACGCTGACACTGACATGAGACATTCATTTTCATATCTCAAATAAATTATGATTTGCACTATAATACTTGAAGTTGTCCTAAGATATTCAATTTTTACATTATGACAGCCTTTAAATTATTCAGAAAGAGTAATTTCTTCAACTTCCTCCCAATCCTTCCTAACAGATATTTACAAAAGGTAGCAAACAGCTGCTTACGTATTTCCATCAGTAGCACAAATGGGATCAGAATGCATTGCACATTGCTGTGAACAACGACATTCGGCACGTCGATCCACTGTTACCTTGCATACTGTACCTGCGGAACAAACAAAATCCTTGCAAGGGTCTGAAATTTCTGTTTTCCATAATTTAAAATTAATGGAAATTTAGAAATTTTAAAATACAAAGCTTAAAATGACATATTTGTGAGTTAAATTGAGTAAAAGTCATGAAAAATTCGAAATCAAAATCAAGCGATCCGGAGTTTCTACTCTAGAATATACCGGATCTACTTTAACGTTCACCAACAGTCATCTGCCATGAAAGATTGTAGATTTTTTTGAAAATACAGTTTTATCTCATTGTTTAGAATGAAGCCTTCTAGAATGTTCGAAGCCTTCTTGTTTCGTTTTTCACGTTCTTAATAAATTGAGAATTTTAAAACATAAAGATCGAATTTTAGAAGCAGCATATACACTTACCACATTTACCATAATACTTCACACTTTCATTACGTTTCGTTTTGCAAGCATGTGCTCGAAGATGGCATAAAGATGGATAATCGGTTCCGTCATTAGAGCAAACAGGTGACGATTCAACACTGTCACCGAAATTATCACACTCTTCTGGGCATACACAGTGCGCTGAGACATAACCTTTTCCATTCTCCGATATCACACATTGCTCACCGGGTCCGCATCGCAGATCTTCGCAAGGATTACGTTTTTCTGAAAAGATCATCTGCGAATACTTTATTGTAAATAGTAAATGATGAAGACAGAAAAGTGAACAACTCAAAGATATAGAATTGAAATAAGCATTTAAAAGATGGTGGAAAAAGTGAAAGAGATAAAAAACCTGATTTCAAATTTCAGAGAACTTAAAAAAGTTCATGTAACGGTACTGTTTTATGCCCTCAATTTCGAAGTTTCATTTAACTGGTCATATTCCAATTAGATGGGATAAGACTAGTAGAAAAATAAAAAATTATGAACTCATGGTGAGCTCCACAACACCTACAAATATCAGAGAGAAATTGTAAGCCACGCATAGCTGTAAGAAAGACTTACCATGTGTCCATTTGTAACAAGTCAGAATTAATTTTAGATTCAATATAATAAAAAAAGAGGCGAACAGACAGTAAGCTGACATAATGATATTAATGATAGCAATGCTGTTTTAATAAAACGCTTACTTAAATCAGTATCTCTCAAAACACGGTGCTTGTGCATTAAATGAATAATTAAGTACACGAAATCGATTATTTGAATCGCAAAAAAAATCAAATATGGATTTGAGTGTGAGAGAATAAAATAAATTTTAAAATTTAATGGATTTCAAAGAATTTCGTTGCATCAAAAAAAATGTTGATAAAGATTTTTGGGTTTTTTCTCTAGAAAGATAATATTAGACGTCGTGTCCCGTCAACTGAAACATTAAAATTCTGTCCCAATCATTCGTTTCTCGACATAAAGCAATGGAATGGAAGCAGAGATTACAGCAAGATGAACGAATAACCCAAAAGAAGAAAAAGAAGCTGTTGTTATTTGCTGCTGGACTTTTTTTGGCCAGCATAAAATATTCGACAGCTATGGCTAATTTTGGCTATATGCCTTCTACCATTTCTAACACAATGAAAGATTTCTAACAGAATTTTCATTTTAGCTTTTTTAAGCTGTATTTTCCAGTCATCACTTCACTTTAATTATATTTGAAAGTGTCGTTTCATGTGACTCTTTCAGCCTTGCTGTTTTTTTGGTATTAAAATGATACTAAATTTTCTACAAAATTTTTTTCTTTCCTCTTGCAATGTCTTGAATAGCCTTTAAAATAAATCATTTCTTAACATTTTTACTTAAAATAATAACTTGGCACTCCTTCATTGTTTCCATCCTCAAATAAAATCATCTCATTTCAAAATTCTAAAAGTCTTTTTTCAGATCGATACTTTTTTTTGCCAAGAAACAACAAGACTGAAAAGAGAGAGGTTAGTTTCTCGAGGCTAAAAATAACGAATAGTTTCTTTTCGGCTGTTTCTAGTTTCTTTTCGTTTCCATAATCCAAATAAAAATCATATAGAAGAAGATAAGAAAGATAGGAAAAATTCCGAAAAGTTCAAGTTTAGCTGAAGGAAAAAATGCAGTTGTCACACTTTTTACAATGTACGCCTTTCTTTCCACGGAATTGCCCAAAAATGGAATTGAAAAAACAATGAAAAGAAAAATTTCCACCAGAAATCAAACTTACCACATATAAGAACGGAGGGAACCTGGAAGTTATCAGATAGGTTGACAATACAAAAATCAGTAATGCTATAACAAGTGGGGTAAGTTGTCTTTCCTATCTCACAAGAAATTTTTCGCGATAGAGCCATACAAGAGACTATTTGGCTATAGGTCACCTATTCATTCCCTTTATGTGAGTACGCAATAACCAGGAAATCAGTTTTCAAATTATAATTGAAAAAGTGATGGTGTTATATGGGCACAACTTCATAGATACAATAATTTCTTTCTCACTTCTAGGAATGCAAAAAAAAATCAATTTGTCATTTAAAATTTATTCAATTCTATTTTTCAATGGAGTCGAAAAATACTGTAAAGCAAAGGCTTACCACATGCACCAATTTGTTTGACTCTAATTTCTGATTTTTCTTCCGCACGCGCAAGACAAGAACGTACGGCAAGGTGACATTCACTGATATAACTCACATTATCAGTACCACATACTGCTGGACCAGCTGTATTACAAAAAGAACGACACTCGCACTCACCACTGCAATTTTGTTCTCATTTGCACAAATTATTCGATTAGGCAACGTTGACACTTGACTGAATGAATTATTGGTTAAAATCAAGGAACATTGTTATTGATATCATCACTGATATTCCAATGCAGCACAGTTTCCTGTTACTGATAGTTAGTTATGAAAGTATCGG